AGACACACACACAGACAACCTCTCGTCAATATGCGTTTTCTGCATTGCATAGCTGCAAAAAACGCAACCATCGTGACGCGGCCCCTTTTAGATTCTGTGAATGCGCAGTAGTTACTCTCAACTGCGGGACGACAGTGCCAAACTATGTATGTCAACAAATAAAAGACTTCAGGCTCCCGACTTCTTTCAATCCTCTAGACAGAAATATTCATAGTTTTGAATCATAAAAATTTCTAAAACACTTACTGTGAAAAAGTATAATTTGGCGAAGTGCACCGCTATTTATTTTTGTAAAAAGCGACTACTTAACACATGATTTTCTCAAAATGAATTTATGCTGCTGCTCCACAGATCTCTTCCCTCATCAAACAGGATCTAGAGGGGGAGAGGAAGAGAAGGAGGGGGACGAGTGCAAGGGGTGGAAGAGGGACTAGTTCTGGCAAACTCTGACGGTAAGATGAATTGGCCGGCTGACGGATGATGCCATTTTTCTGATTCCAACAAATGTTACTAGGTTTTCTATATTAGACCCTGTGTTCGTGCTTGCTATGTTTCTGTGTTGTGCTGCTGTAATGCGTGAAATTCGTCTTCTCTCTGAATTGGGCGCGATCGACAGCATCATGAACAGATTTTAGTTCGACTAGCCTGTGGTTCTGCTCGTATGTGCAAGGAGAGAGTAGTTTTAGCAGAAGACAAGAATGGAAGCGCGGACCAGCATACCAGGCTCATGTATTGCTGCATTGCAGTGGTGCCTCTATGTGATTGCGGCAATAAACATCTTAATGGCGCTTACCCTGGTTCTCGTATCGATAAACGTGAAAGGTCCGGGCGCTCACGGTGCAGCTGATTACTTCTGTTGCTTTATATTCTTCGTTACCGCGGCATTAGCTATTGCAGCTTCGGCACAGCCGAAGACCTCGCTTGCTTGGTCATTGATCGCTATTACGGTAACACGTTGCTTCACTTCATTTGTGAATTCTTCGAAAAAGCAATTTCGAAATTTTGTGCGGCCAATCTTTCAAAGGCACTGAATAGTCCTGTCCGTCCGAAAGCTCCAAGCTGATAGATAACACGCTTATTCGTAATTTAAGGTTCTACAAGAAAACGCATTTTTCGGCACGTTGTGGTAAACTCGCCCACAAAATATCAGTATTTTTTTAACATTGAAAAAAATGTCAAGTTTCTTATTAGCAGAATAATAAATGCTATTCAAGGAGTTGATATTAAATAGCTGCGAAGTGAAAATGGAATATAAAAGTCGGAGGTGTAACCGAAATTGAAATGCTTCATTTCATTAAGTAACATACATCTTAATTTAAGGTTTCCACTAAGTATTGTCGGTACCGGACCTGTGATATAAATTATTACACAGCAGATAAAAGACAGGAACTGAATAAGAAGACTATAAAATAAATTGCAGAAAAGGGGCGGGGTAGTGGGTAGAGAAAGTAACTGGCCCCAGTCCACAAATGGAGAAGCTTGTACTCAAGGACTTTGACTTGAAGTAACAACTCCAGTAAGAAAACCCCTCTTCTAGTCTCTGGTCATATTCACATGTTCTTTAAAGAGGAGTAACTTTTGAAAGGAAGAGAAACACCTAACAGTTTTTCAATTCTGAAAACATTTGAAAAATTGCTTTTTTTTTCGCACAAATTAACGATTTGCATGAAAGAAAAAACGGCTCAGGAACCTTATGTTTTGATTAGCCACTGTTTCACTATCGCGTTTCTCGCCCCTGATGCAGCTGGCAACTTCCCAATCCTTGTTTATTTGTG